TGAAACATGTAACAGGGTAACTATCAACTTCTAATGGTGTAACTATTGCTCATAATCCTATGGTCTTTTTATGTACCTCCTGTTTGTATTTCAGGGTTATTTAAAGAGTTTCTAACTGGTGATGACTCGCAAGGGCATCAAGAAAATTTCTTGGGCTGAAATTATCATCCTGTTTCACTTTTTAAAAACCTGTTCTTAAGTACTTATGTGGAGATGATTATTAAAAGGCTTAAACATTTATGGTATGCAAAAATTGTGAATGTAACCTTGATTTCCTTGCCGCCACCCATACTTCTAATTCTTCATGTCATGCCCTATTGAAAGCACAGCGTGGTTCTGCTCTGAGAAGCATGGGGGGGGTGTGACCTGTTTTGTTTCCTGAAGGTGTTTGGGAGATGCGTGAAGCAGGAATCTGCAAGAGAGAAAAGCGTGCCGTGGTTACAGAGAATGGATGATGCTGTCTTGAAGTTCTGGCGTTTATCTGCACTTGTTTGGCTCTGGCTTCTCAAACAAAGCTTTTCCTTCTGTTCTAAGGGGGCTCAACTTTTGGTTGTGGGATCTGACTCTCAAATTCAGTCAATTGTTGCTTTTTTAAAAAAAAAACAACTATAGGGAAAATATCGAAAATAAATGTATGCGTAATATATATGTTTATATATGTACACACATTTATATATACAGAGAGGAAACTGTTGGGATGATGGTGTATAGGTATGTGTCTGTGCATGATGCTTTTTTAGTTTTCCGTTTGTGCCTGTTATGGTTGCAGCATAGGTGCTATAATGGTTGGATGGTGTGGGTCAGTTGCCACTGCATGGAACACTGGCTGTGGTTGAGAAAGTTCAAACACCTCTTGGATCCTGTTTTGGAAAGTGTTGTGTTTTTTTTTTTTTTTTTTTTTTTTAAAAAAAAAAGCTAGATCTTGCACTGGTTTAATTTAGTAGCTCTAGTTGTATTTAAGTAGCACCTACTACTTCTTGATACCTATCTTGTCATGACAGGGTATAGATCTTAATGTTTCAATGAGGTCTCAGTGTGAAACTGAAGATGATAATTAGCACATCAGTTAGTTTTTTAGCAAGGAAGATGGGTAAGACAGTCTTAGTCTCCCTGGTTCCTTCATGTAAACCCAGTGGGATGATGGTTTCTGATAGCTCTGGCCATCCACAGCTGGTGATTCTGCCCAAAACATGAGTTTTAATGACCGTTGCATATAATGGCTGTTGTTCCTTTACTCCTATCAAAGACGCTACTCCTAGATAGAACCACTCTTTATAGAGATGAGAGAACTGGGGAATATCAGAGGGAATCCAAAATATGCTCTGGATATTTTCTCAAGAAACTGTTAATTTGAGAAGATGGGAATGTAATTGAAATGCATGTATAACTTTTATAGCTTGACAGGAACTTATGGTTTGATACTTAAGCTGCAGTGAAAAAACTTGAAATCTTGCAGAAGACTGTGAAAATGCAGTAATTCTCTGTTTGACTCGGAGAAGTAGCATTACACTTGTCCTATTTGATGGTGTGTCTCCCTGTTGATGTTTCCATGATACATGTAGTGTTATTCTAATGTGACTGTAGCAAGGTATGGAAAATTGCTGTAAAGCCTACAGGATCAGTTGCGTTTAAATGACTTGTATCAACTTTTTCGCTCTTCTGAGCAACACAGTAAAGTGTGATGCAAAAAAATGATTAATTATTTGAAGGGGTGGGCAAGATAGATTTTAGAAACAATGGGTTTGTAAGCTTATGAAAAGATCTTGCAGAATTTGACCTTGTGGCGATAGTATAAATTGGTTACACAGTTTAATAACAACAAAATTGTGATCTGAATTTTGGGACAAGCAGGGAATAATGAAGAGTTAAACAGAATTGTGAAGAACAAAGTGTAATAAATGGAATTAATTTTGAAAAAGTTGAATGGCAGTCTCGTTCATGATAATGGAAAACAGCTCAGTTAAATGTTCTTTTGAAAGACTGTTTTTACTCATTCTGCCTTCTGATTGTCCTACGAGAAGATGAGTGTTAGCAAGGACTTTAATGTGAGTTGTGATCACTGGGAAGAGCATGTCCCGAATGAACTAAATGGGACCATTTGTGAGGGTCTCCAGAGGTGGGAGAATTGATGCATAGCAGTTAAACATAGGATTAACATTGAACAGAGGGGAGAGACCAACATCCTGAATTGCTACTAATAAGCACTAATGAGTGAACATCAGCCATTCTTTTTGTGTTGAAAAAGGCAGGCAATTTACTAATTAAAAATTATTCATAAGGTGGCTTCTCTTTTTGTATTCTGCCTGTAAATGTGTGTGCAAGTGAAGTTTGCAGGCCAAGTAGCAAAGTAAGGATTATTTTGGAGTTCATTGCCTTAATACTTGCACTCCTTTTAAAAGTGTTATTTTGCTGCCTTCCATCTCTGTGTGTACACATTCAAGAGAAGAAAAAAATAATTTTGGCAATACTCAGTGTTATGTAATGGAAGTAAAAGATATTGCTGTTTCTCCCATTACCTTAACACTCCTATTAATGGATACAGCCTGCAATGTACAGTGCTTTAAAGCCTGAATGAATGCTATGTTCAGCTGAAACTATGGAGATGAGATGAAAATAGGTAGAATGTACTTATTCTTTATTTTGTATGTGAAGTACTTCCTGTTCTCATCGTGCTTTTTATACACTGAAGTCATAAGATATTAGTAAAGCACAGTTCCTTTTCCCTAATTATGCAGTATAATTGGAAATTGTGGGCAAATCTCCTAATCTCCATAGTGACAGCACAACATTTATCTAATTAGTAGTTTGCCTTTTGGCATTACTCTGAATAAATTAGCATTTCATTAGATACCCTGGGCTACTGGGAAAAAGTTTCCCAGAGTAGTATTTGGTCTTTCTTCTCTAAAGAGTGTATTTTGAATTAGCATAGGTTAATAATATCCTTTGTAACTGGAAAGATACAGAATAGTAATACTGTTGTTAGTCTTAATATCAGAGGGCTGTGCTCAGAGGTTCTTTGCTTTCTTTAATTCCCAGGAGTCAGAGTAAAAACTTATGTCGCCTTATTTGATAACTTGCTCTTTCCCCAGGAGGGGAAAAAAGAAAAGAAAAAAGTGGAACAGGTTTGAAATACAACTTGACCTCCTCCCTCTACCCTTTCCCTTTCTCCAGAGGATGAACTTTTCTTTCATATTACAAACAGCACAAAGTGTAGTGGTGCGGACTAAGCCAAAAGTCGCGCTCTATCACTTGCTAATTATAAATGAGCTCTTCTGCAGTATTTCCAGTGAAACTAATCCAGAATAATCAAAGACTATTTGTACTCTTTTCCTTCATACATAAATCAGTGATAGGAAACTGGGTGACTGAGTTTTGGTATTGTCTGCCAGATAAGAAGCATGGTTTCTTATTATGCTTTCCTGAACGGCTATTGGGAACCCATAACTTTGACGGGAAGTTAAAACAGGCAATTCATAAAAGATGAATTCCCACTGATTTTTCTTCCCCAGTGTTAAAAAGAGCAGGAAGAAAAATCTATGGGTGTGATAAAGGATTGTAATTTCCTTTCCTTGAGTCACTGGCTATTTCAGACCCTTGCTTACCTGTTCAAAGAGTCGTTGGCTGCCACCTGTGGCAGAAGATTGGTATGAAGTATGGTGTTAAATATTCTACTCTTCCCAAAGTGGTCTGTGCAGCAGGGATGTACATTTACACCACCATCATCATGGTTGCCTTTTGGTAGGTAGAGGCATGCAAAGGACCTGCCAGTTTGTTTTGCCAAATCCAGAATAATGAAACATCTTCTGTTTGGCAGGCCAGTCTGAGACTGTCTATCAGACTGGATTTTGTACCTAATAGCACAAAACATCTGGGGCTTACAGTATTTGTGAACTTGGAACTGGTTACAAAAGGACCCCCAGCATGGTGTTGACACATGAGGTCCACAGCAGCCTGTCCAGCTGGGCTCAGTGATGCCAGTTTCTCTGCTTCTGGGCTGGGTTCTCCAGGTTGTCTGAGGTGGATGGCCACTTATTCCCTAGTGGTGAGGTAGGATAACCCTGTACTTTCACTTGCCCTTTGGTAAGTGTTTTCTTGTTTCCCTGCCCTGGGAAGGCTGCTTTCCTCATTCCTTGTGATTTGACACTGGGTTATCTCATGGTGAGAGGGGTGCTCGTGTTACTTCCTAGCTCTTCCCTTGGGCTTCTTCATTACCCCTCAATCCAGTAATTATTTTGTATTTTTGTGCAATAAGTTAGACAGAGTTTTGGGGGGGATCGCCTAGACCTTTTCCTGTGATGAACTCCCCATAAAAAAAAAAAAAAAACAACCCAAAAAAAACCCCCACACAACAGAAAATTCCTTTTCTAACTTTGATCAAATCTAGCTTTTTTTTTTTAACAGCTGGAGTAATTAATGGAAAATTTGGAGATGAAGGAAGACAGAATGGAAATAAAGAGGGTTTATTGATTGCTCTCTCCCTCTTCAGCATCACTGCAGGCAGGTTCCTGCTCTCAGATCTTGTCCCTGGTTACCTCAGTACCTTTGTAGGAAGTTGGTACATGTGTCCAGTCCTCCCCCCTGGTGCCTAGGAAGGTCTTCCCTGCAACCTCTGAGGCAGGTTATTGCCTGGCCCTAAAATAAGAATGCCAGAAAATCTGGGTCTTGGGTGACTGTGCTCCCAGTCATTGCAGGACCCCAGCTCTTGTCTGCCACACCTTGCACTGTCCCTTGGCTGTATCCTTCCTCACACGGGTTGCTCAGCTGGTGAAACAGCTGCTCCCATCCATCTCCATCCAGAGGTCCAGAAAACTCTACTTATGTACTGTAAGAACAGAGAACAGTCATTTATATTGTACATATATGTTTAAATTAACTTCTCTTTCCTTATAGGATTCTAAAGGTCCTGTGATAAAACTCTCTAATCTCCTTCTAGATGCTCAAAGAAATGAGTGTGTGTTAGGTGTGTTGATGTTGTTGTGACCACGCACAGTCTAGCCGATATGGTCTTGGGATTGCATAAACTGCCGAACAGCACCCATTTTCTTGTCCACTCCCTACGTATGGTTTGCTTTAAGGACATCTTGTCTGGGGACCCGGAAAATGGGAAGGCAATGTTAGAGGTATGTTAGAGAGAATGACTGCTGTAATCTAATGATCTGAATTTTGTTCTACAGCTTGATGACTGCACCCTGCAATTGTCTCACAATGGTACCTATCTGGATCTAGAATCGACCCTAGCAGAACAAAGAGATGAATTGGAAGGCTTCCAGGAGGATGCTGGGTAAGTAAAGGTTTACTAAATTTCGATAAATAAGTATATTTGTCCAGAAGCATTGAGGTTTTGAGAGTGTGTGTGGTTAACTTGGTATATTTAGGTCAGTACAGGAACTGAAAAGATAAAATTGTGTAAGCACATATGTCTCCCCTTTCCATGATTAAGAATTTTATGACTTTTCTATTTACATTCACTCTTAGGGTTTCTCTAAAAGAAGATAGCATGCTGTAAGAAATCTATCAAGATGGATGTCTTGTGTTAGACTAATAAATTTTTATAGTTCTTTGGAACTTGATAAATGAGGGTGGTTGGTTCTGAGAACTCAAGAGATCTTACTTTTATGATAATAGTTGGTGTAGAAGATTATATTGGGGTAGTGCTCCTAAAGTGATGAACTCAATTTCTTTGTGTCTTGAGATTTAAGTCTTCCTTTTATATTCTTGGAGAAAAGATTGATTTCTCTTTCACTTCTGGAATTGATTTAGCTAGCCTGGTGTTGTGTGTGGTGGTGGTATTGTTTTCTGAATATTCTCCCCTCTTGCTTTTATTTTGCTTTTTTTTTTTATTATTGCTGGCACACATGGATTGCTATGACACAGCTTTTCATAAACCATTTCTGATGAGAACTGAAAGTGGAAACGGAAGTTATCATCAATGTGTGTCTGTGTGCATGTATAAAATCTGCTTTTTAGAAGAATTTTTTTTTTTCTGAGCCTTTTAGGTGATTGTCTTGTTTAAGATATAAAATGAACAGACAGTCTAAACCTATATTTGCCTTGCTGGTTGCTATAATGGACTGGGTAGTTGTAATTAATTTTATGGTTGTATTTTGGCATAGACTTCACATGTGCGTAATGCAGCTGTGCCAGAAGGAAATTAACTGCATTCTGAATTGGTCAGGGCTTGTTAACACTGAGATGCAGCCCTCTTGCTGATACTGGTTTCTCTACTTTTTGTGATAGCTGTCTTGTCTTTGTTTGATGAATACTTCTTACAAATTTAAACTGTGTTTCTGAAAATTATTCTATGTGGGGCAGAATTTTAAGTAATATGTTAAAATATTCATTTGTGTGCATTAGTGCATGTTATATTCATGCATACCTGTTTTGGGCATGTTTTTATAGGTATTGGAAGGTAAAGAAACTGTTCTGTTAGAAATTAAATTAGTTCTTCAATACACAGAGCAGCCAGTACAGGTGAACAGAGCCTCCCTTCCTATGCAAGAGGAGTGTTGAATATGAAGTTGATCTAGTCTTCAGTTTTATGCAGAGGTGATAAACATTGCTGCAAAGAACATAAAGTTCTTATTTCCAGCTAACTTTATAATCAGTTGCAAGCGAGTAAGATGAAGGAAAAACTAAAAACTTTCTTTTTTGATAGGTTGGTTTCTTTTTTTTTTTTTTTAGTAGTATGCATTAGTAGTTAATTCACATTTTCTTTCCTTTCCATTGATCACTCCATGATAATTCTAGTAATTTTAACTTCATTGCCTTTGATACCCCTCAATGGCATTCCCAAGCAACTTGGCAAGGATGGAGACTAGTTGGTGTTCTTCCTGCCAGACTTTATGCTTGAAATGGCAAGCTACCTTCCACGTTGTTTTAATTTCTGCTTCCTTTGGGCCCATAAAATCAATTATATGAATTGTTCCTGCAACATGATTCTGATTTTCTCTGTGGTGACTATCCTAGGAAGAATACCAAAACATGTGTAACTAACTGTGCTGCTTGGAATTGCGTGTCTACCGTGTTGTTTTGAGCTCAAAAATCAGGTTATGTTTTTGTGTACTTGGCATACGTGTGCAGGCCTCCTCTTAATTGCACAATTTATTATCAGTTGAGTAATTGCTTCTTCCAATGTCTTGTCCTGCTAGGTAATGTGAAGTCTGCTGGGAGGTCCTTCATTCTTCTGCAAAGATGGGTAGGGAGGTATGAAACTGGGTGTATCACAAAAGCTTGGGCTACAAATTATTATGGTAGTTGTCTTTTGAAATGGGTTTTGTGAAATGAAAGAGAACAACTTCCCTGTCTGTTTTTGTCATGTATGTAGCCCTCATCTTCACTGGTTTTTGCCTTGCTCTCTGCAGTTGTACCTCTGGTAATCGTGGGTCATGGGAAGTGCCATGTTTCCACGTTTCAGCTGCCTGCCTCAGTGCAGCGCCAGGGCTGGTTCTTAGGTGCTGCCACTTTGGCTGTTGTGACCCACCTTTCTTTGATGCCTTCCCACTGCAGTCCCCCTTCCAGACCCTGCCTTCTTACCTTTACGATAGGTTACACCTGCAGTGGTAGCTGTGGAAGGCTGAAGTGGTGAGAACAGAGGGAAGGAAGAATGAGGGGTGTGCTGGGGAGTAAATTGGTGAGTGAGCCACAGGTGAGCACAAAAAGACACGTGCCCTGCTGTAGAGGGAAGACGGGGTGTTTGCCTGAGGGGATGTTCCCCTCACCACCTCTTCAGAGGTGTCTGTAGGTGCAAGTAGGATACCTCCCTTGGATAATCCTAGCTTGCGGTTAACCTGCAGTGCTGCCGAAGTATATGGGGGTTGTGCTTTGACTTATTTGTTGTGAGGTTGCGGGTTTTTGGTTCCATCTCTGCTACACACATGTACCCAGTAACTTGTGGGTTAGAGCCCTGAAATCCTTGGCAGGAAAGGATCTGACATTTTGGGGATGGCCAGCTGCAAGTAAGTCAGTGATTACGGTGCTGTGAAAAAGATAAGGGGCATCCTAGGGTATAAAGCAGGAATTTAGCCAATGAGATGCAATGAACTTGGTATCTTCAGTACTAGTGAGGCTTCTGCTGGATCTCTGCATTCCATTTTTTCCACATTTCAAGAGAGAATAGGAGGAAGATAAACAAGAACAACAGAAATTTAGGAATATGTGAGATGGCTTCCCTGTATTACTTAGTACCGTCATCACGTTAGAGTAAATGCAATTTGTGTGATGTTATCCAGAGAAAAGGAGTGTGCTAGACATAGGGTAGCAAATGCAATCAGGAGTGTTCCCTCCATCCCATGTTCTAGCAAACTAAGCTCCAATTTTGGGCCTTGCAGCTCTGATCTTTTGCCCCTGCAGAGACCAAGGTGTTGAGCTGGGGTGCTCCTGAGCTGGAGCTTCTGACTGCAGGCACTGGGGGCTTAGCAGCCTGCTGTCTGGGAGGGACTGGCCGCAGAAACTGCTTAGTGTCTCTCTTTCTCTCTGGGTCATTTCAAGGTCCTGCTCTTAATCTTCAAAGACTTAATTTTCTGAGATTAGTCTACCTCAGGACCTGCCTTTCTGCCATGCCCAGGCTGCTGTGCTCATCAGGGTCACTGAAGCTTCCTGAACTCTGAATGAAGGATTTAGTAGCTGGATATTCATGGCATTTGTAAAATTTCAGATCCTAAACTGTGGACGCTCCTACTAAAAGTGACCAGAATGTCCTGCAATCTGACGTTTTTCAGAATCTTTTTACCAAATGTTCCTGTTTGCCCAGGGAAAACTGAAGTCGCTTTTTTTTTTTTTTTAAATACACTGCTGAAAGGAGTTTTATAAATAAATAAACCATGCAGGAAACACTGTCTTACAAATTTTTATTCATGTGAGAGACTTCAGGTATCTGGAATGGTTGGATGAGCATAGTGAAAAATAGGGGTTTTTTCTTTGAGAGAAGAGGAGGATGGTGGTAGTTAGGCTGGAGGTTTATGATGTGTGAATAACAGGTATAAGAAGCATATGCACTCATACACAGTTTCAGATGAATCCTCTTCCATTACTGAATATAAAGAAAAGAGGCTTTTGGTGGTTGCTATCCACTCCTGCAGAATCTAAACTTGTGTTTAGGGAAGGAGAAAACCCAACACATGTGCCCTCTTAGCCTGTAGGGCTAACTGAGAAAAACGTGGACAGGGACAGGACTGTCTTCCTGTGTCCGTAACTCTCACTGTTGCCATTTGCACCTTTGGGAACAGCTGTGGGATTTAGGAGAATTGGACTGGTTTTATATGGTTTTTGGTTTTTTTTTTTTTGGGGACAGTGAGCATGAAGAGCTGGCCAAGCAAGGAGGCTGGCCCTGCAGAAAGTGTCATGACCAGGAAACAGATCAATAAGAGCATGTAGTAAAACTGCCTTTCTTTTCAAATCTGGCATGTATTCATGTTTTGTTTGCTTGTTGTGTTTATTTTTTCCTTTTTTCTTGCTCCCACTGCAAGTTACTTTGCAGATGCTTAATTGTGTGAGGAGGTGATGTGGTTTAGGGGGGTCTGGCTGTTTTCTTAAGGTGCCCATGACAGGTAATGCTCTTTTCCTTTGGTTACTTGTGATTTTATAGAGCGAGCAAGAATTGTCGAGAAGTTTATGTATTTAAACTACCATATAATTGCTCAAGTTCTTTTTATGGGCACGTCTTAACAGGCCCTAATGGTAGCCCACAAGGTAATGCAGTCCTGAACTGCGGAACACAAAAGCTTATTCAGCCAGCACATTGCGAGCAATGGAGATTTCCTCAGGGAATATCTTTCCAAGACTTCTGTTCAGCAGATGGATTGTTTTAAAGTACTTCTGACAAATCACTTCAGTGCTGATGTTTTTGCATTCCTTCTAGGCACCCTGTCCCAAGCCATTTTTGCTGGGTGAGTCCCATTTAAGTTGGATGCCAGACATTTTCCCTCTTGATGCTGCTGTTCATCCTGGGCTTGATTCAGAATCTATTTTTTTTCAGCAGGGATTTTTAAAATTCTTTTCCTGCTTATTTTTTGCTGGCTTAGACTTTGTGATTGGCACAGTTGTGAGAATGAACACTTTTCGGCACTTCTTTACGTGAGGAAGTAGGGGGTGCATTTGAAGATCAGCTTGGTTTTTGTCTAATAAAAATGATGTGGTTCATTTCTTGAAGTGGTAATGCAAACTAGCAGATCCTATGCTGATTTTGTGTTTGTTCGGACAGAGTGTATTTGTACTAGTTCACTGTTGGAAGATGCTCTCAACTTCCGACAGCTTTCTCTCCATGTTTTCTCTTGATGTCATTTC